CTGTCGATAGATGGAGCCTTTCTTTTCGTACGGTTGTAATCGTCAAGATCTCAACTTTTAAAGTATAACTCACGTTTTTTTAGATTTCACAATCAAATATCCAATTTCTTTACAAAACTAATGTGATATTCCGAATCAACATCAAAAACTGAGTCGAACGAGTCTGGAATTCTTATATATTTTTTTTGGTGAAAATTTGTTTTATTTTATGGAGAAATTCGAAAAAAAATTGAAGTTGTCGTTTAGAACAGTGAAGGAGCCTCATTTGACTCAGATTTTGATGATGATTCCAAATGTCATGTTAGTTTTGCAAAGAAATTGAAATTTGATGATGAAAATGTCAAAATATGAGTGTATTTCATCATTGATTTAGATAAACAAGTTTCTCGGCAACGAAACAAAATCTAACAAAACACGAGTTGTACTTCTAAAGTTGAGATCTCGACGATTACAACCGTACGAAAAGAAAGGCTCCATCTATCGACAGAAAATACTAGATAGGTTTACAAAATGCTTCAGAGTCATTTCAAAGGGGCCACCAGGCTCAATCTATTCTTGACTCTATGATCGTTCAAACACCATTTTTATACACAGTTTTTGATACTAAATCAGAGAAAATTAGTTTCCAAATTGTAGAAAAAGGAGGCAAAAATTTTCTTACTTTATTGAAATGAAGCGCTTTTTAACGATTTGGTCTAACCGAGTATTTTAAATTTTTGTCTCTTAAAAAGGTTTTTTTTAAGTAAAATATATATACACTTGATCAGCTCGACGAGCTCTATCTAACCATGTATGATAAAGCCAAAAAATATTTTGCGGCATTTTTGAATTAGCTGCACTTTACAAAATGTTCAAACGAAAAAAAGTAAAAATAAATTCGATACACTAACAACATGCAGATGATACTTTGATACGAGATTAAGAATTAAACTACATTAGGGACTCTTCTTTAATGTTCGAAAGAGTTGTAAACATCGATTTTCCTTTTCGGATGAGTTTAGTATGGCAGAGTCAGTTGTAATTGTAGTTAACAAAAAGTATATCAAACATTTTCCATGTACCGTAAAAATAAAAAGATTGAGAAAAAATACTGCGACGCTTCACTCTTGTCTACTTTATAATCTCAATATACTGGTTTTTCGATTTTAGCTCTTCATATTTTGGAATATCAAAGATAGACATTTTAAAGCCCTTAAAAAGCTTTATCAACTGATTGTATTTAAAACTCTTCATAATCACAAGGGTTGTAGCAGAGCTTTTTTCTTTTACTAATTTTGTCTAGAGTTATGGTTTTCGAACTACAGCTTTGGAACAGTTGATAAATTTTGGGTAATTCGTCCAAAATCATACGTTTTGAGGGAGAGTTTGTTTTATTTTAAAACAGAATATTCCTTCTATCACATATGAACAGAGAAAGTTGTGTTTTGGGCTAGAAAATTGTCCAGATTGAAGCTTCGTAGTCTGTTCTCTGTGTATTTTTATTTTTGCAGTATATAGAAAAATGTTCGATATGATTTTTGTAGAGAATGAAATGGTGAATCTTTTTTAAAGATAGTTTAAGCCTATATGGTCAAAAATAAAAAAGTTATGCAAAATATACGAAGAAGATAATTTATTCTGTATTACCCGTTACGTACATATATTGAAGTAGACGAATAATATACGTTTTTTCTTGTTTTAGTAAGTTTTTTGCCGTGTCATCATATTTTATTAAGAGAAAAGAAAAAAGACGTTCGATTCAGGATAAATAAATATTTGAAAGCACTCTTTTATTTTGCCATACATCCATCATTGCACTGTATGAATGTCAAGTGAGGGTAACATGCATAATGAATAATTTAATATGTGTGCAATAACTATTCTCATATGAAAGAATTAGCTGTACCTGTTTTCCGCTTTTATACATAAAAGGATAGAACTTTAGCGTATAGCACAGTGGACAACCACATGGATATTAGATGAAAAAAATGGAAGTGAGCTTTTTGAAGCTTTGGGTAGTGTCATATATACTTCGATTAATAGCCTGTTTAATGTTATAAAAGTTTTTTTTTCCGACTTTTGTATTAATGTGGAAAGAGATAGCACGAAAACGAGGTCGAAAAGAGTCGAATTCATCGAAGAATAATATTTTTTATAAATTGTGCAAAGTGTTTATGGATAAATCATACATATTATTAATTAGACCTTCTAGACTATCGATTTGTAAAAATGTTTTTGTTTTCACGCTTTCACGTTGGAAAAAATAATTGTTCTTTCTACGCTCGAGGTTTTTCCAAAAGCCGTGTTCAGTATAGTGTGTTTCCACAACTTCAAACCCAATGAGACTTTCACAGAATATCTTTCTGCTTATGATATATCTTTACAGATAGAGAGAACGAGATTAGAGGTATTCTTTAGAAAGAGATGCATAAATGATCCTGACCTGAGCTACAGGTTTTCCAAAAAAACCTAGGTTTTGGGGTTAAATCCATTTTTCTCAGGTTAGACACATTTTTATTTGAAAAATAGTTACATATTCGGAATCAGCGTCAAAAACTGCATCGATGACCAGAAATATCTCACTCACACATAGAATAATGTGCGTTTGAGGTATTTCCCAACAAAAAATGTTTCGATCCAGTGTGATGCGACGGTTTCGACACAGCAATTTTGACTTGGCACGTAGACATGTGCTAGAAAAGTGATACGAAAGTCTCTAAACACTGTTTTTATAGATCTTCGTATGTGCTCTTTGCAGAGGATGATTTTCAAACTGTCAAAGTGTGTTTGTACTGGTTTTACAGAGATCCGATCTCTGGAAACCAGTTCGAAGATACTTTGAAAGTTTAAAAATCATCCTCTGCAAAGAGCACATACGAAGATCTATAAAAACAGTGTTTAGAGACTTTCGTACCGCTTTTCTAGCACATGTTCACATGTTTGGCTAAAACTGCCCACTGTGTATAGCACTTTCGCTCTTCATTTTAATGTCGCATACAGAAATCTGTATGTGAGACATAGGGCACATCTTGTTGTATGTGAGATAAAGAAGACGCTATAGTTTTTGGAGCAACCATAGAAACTGTTAGAATACAGTGATTAAGAATCTCCACTACCTGCGCAACGTCTCATCTTGTAAAGATATGTTTGATCTCTTGATTTTTTTTACATTGAACTAAAAAGCTCGAGGATAAAAGGAAGAAGTTTTTGTAATGCATTGTTGAAGAGTCACGGATTGTTTATACAACTAGTGGGAAGTTATTGGACGCATTTATAGTGTTCTAGATTACTTATGTTTGTGTCACAATTAAGTTTAACCTCTTTTTCTTGCAACAAATACGTAGATCAAACATGTCTCTACAAAACGAGAGATTTTGCAGCTCGCGGCGATTCTTGATAACTATGCTACAACATTTTCTCTAGATGTTTTGATAAATGATGCATACTTACCTTATTACCATATGTTAAATGTGCAAAGTGTTACATTAAGTTTTGTGCGGAAACATTAACAATGTACAGCAATGGTAAAGAATCTTCTGAATGTGCTCGAATAAACTTTTAATAAAAAATATAGTGACCTTCGAGATGATTATAATTTCTTTTTTTACCTTATTTAGTTTCAGATATTTGATATCAATTTATCTATAAAATTTAAAATATGTCATCATCTGATCAAGAATCTCAACAAAAACCTCAAATGTGTGGTTTTCGTGCTCCACGACATGTTTATTCATGTATAATTAAAAATAAAACAAATGAAGAATTGTCCGTTATTATTGAATATGCTGGTATTAATGAGACACATTCCGAGACAATGGATGTTACACTTGCAAAAGATGATGAACAAAAAATAAATGAAAAAACATTTGATCATGAAAATGATAGTGGTTGTTTAGGACGAAAAACTGTTCATAAAATTCATGTTAAAAAATTTTCGGGTAAAACAATGGAATTACAAGAGCCATTTGAAGGTGTTACAAGTCCCGTTCAAGATTGGGAATTTCTTATTTATGATAATGAAATTAAATCACAAAATCCATCAGAAAAATAATAAGAATATCATTTTATTTCGATAATTTCTAGAAAAACTTTTCTTACTAGTCTTGTTGTTGTGTGTTTGTTGGTTTATCTGTTTATTAGTTGTTGTTTTTTTTCTTCATTTATCTCGATTTAGTGGATTTTTTTCGATTGATCGCATGTAATTTTTGCGTACATTTTTAAAAAACAATAATAACAACAGTAAATCGTTTGAAAAACTAAAAAAAGAATTTGTACTAGCGTATAAATAAGTGAACGAATCGAAGATGTATGAATTTATTCTTCATTGATCATCATTTCAATAACATGACTTTTTTATGAAAAAATAGCATATAATAAAATATTTTAGAAGAATATTTGATCGTGAACTACGATTACACATATCATTATCACAAAAACATATATTTTTTATTTTATCATTGGCAATTTTTAGATCATAACAACCGTTTGTTATTCGAATACCGATTGAATTTGCTTTCATTAATTCATCACTTTTAAAACATCGTCGACTAGCACGTATATCATCATCAATATTTTTATTCATAGAATTATTTGATTTTAGTTTTTCAAATGATTTCCAACATTTACCATCACATTGTTCAGTTGTATGTTGTGTAAAATCAAAATGAATATTACAGTCTAAAATATTAACAATAAAAATAAAATAATTTATAAAAATTATGATGAATTATTAAACGTAATTCATCTTCTTTCATGTATAAGTCGTGTGAACGAAAACAATTCAATAAAATTTTTCCTTTTACTGGGACTAGAGATTCGCTAATAATACATTTGTTATCTTGAGATACACACCGCTGATGTAAGGATGGATCATGACCTATGGCTCAGAAGGCGTCCGATTTAACTGTCAAATCGTTTTTTCAATGAGACCTAGTAGATTATAGGTTATGGACTATGCTGATTCCGAATATGACCATGGCAATTGCTTATAGGTCTCTTTTCTGGAAAACCAGTTTTTCAGAAATTCTAAAAAATACCCAAAACGTTTCTTAATAAGGCATAATTGTATGCCCTCGTTAACAATTTCATAATCACACTGGAATACATAATTTCGATTAAAATGGAAATGAAAATTAGTGGAGTTTAAAAGGACAAAGATTTTCGTATAAGATTAACTGATAGAGTGAATTTTTACACGTTTTATTTCGATCTGTTTTAAAGTGATCATTTACGAAATACTAACGATACTAAAACTGACTTGAAAAGTATATATATTTGTAAACGATGAAAAAGATATATGTAGAAATATTTGTTTATTTTATAGAGATGAAATAATGCTTAAAACTAAGGCGATGACACATGAATGCATTCTGTTTTCAAATTTCGAATTCTACTGTTTTGAAGATGTACAATGTCATAAATTTAAATTGATGACATGTTTTTTGTTTTCGTCTCTTTTCTGGCACGATTAGATAGCGCTCATCGAGTTATCGAGAAAAAACTCCATTTCAGCTTTTCAGAAGACATTTTTTTAGTGAAAAAATTTTAAAATATTGATTTTTTTAAAATGGGCAATAATGAGGAAATTTTTGAATGATAAGCAAAATGTTCATGTTTGATCGCCTTTTAAAATTTCCAAACTATTTTTTCTTCTTTTCTATTAAAAACTGAGTCTATTACGCTAATTTTGGAAATTTTAGAAGTTAAACTGGACTCAGAATCTGCGAAACACGAGAAGAATGGTAAATGGACTGCCCGTTAGTTTTACAAACGTACCTAACTTAGTCCTAGGATTTAGGAGCTAAAACGTTAAAAACTGAGTTGAAACATGTATGTTTCGAAATTTTTAGACAGATAATTTTGGATTTCGAGTAAAAATCGTAAATTTTCAGTTTTTAAGAAAATCGAGAAAAATCCAAAAAAGTACGGTCTAAAAATATCTTCCGAAAATCTGAAATGGAGTTATTTTTAGGTAACTTGGCGAGCCCTATCCAACCATGCCGGAAAAAGAAACATTCTATCTTTTTGAATTGTTAGCAGCTTAAAAGCTGAGAGTAGATAGGTGTGCACTACATACGATAAAAATTTTACGTACTATTATGGTAAAACTTAAAAAAAAAGAAAGGAATTCCTCACAGGTCCGCGGGAAAACATAGAAAGTAGTAGAATGAAAAAAGATTTGGTTAACATTTTAGAAATATCTTAATATGTTCATCCCTATTGATAGTTAAAATTTTAGAAGTTAATTATTTCTTTTAGTTGAGTATTTTAAATATCTTACCGTGTCTCATTTCTCCTTCATCATCCGTTGGTGATGTTATTTCGCATTTCCAACATTGTAAATAACCTAGTAAACCTTTTGTGAGTGGTATTTGGTTGAAAATCAAGTTTATAATGTAGAATGAAAGTACTAGACAATTGTTTAACATTCTATCTTATATAAAAAGAATTATTTTTTGTTGTTCAGCTACTGAATGAAGGAAGGAAGGATAGCCTTACATTACTTCCTTTTCCTTCTTTATTCAAACAATAGGTATAATCTGTACACGCATACAGAGAGAAAGAGAGAGAGAAACAACAGAGCAATAGAAGTATCTATCACTTTTGCTATTTATTCTTCTTATTTGAGTTATACAATACGTTCATTATTTATATGTACTCAACACATCCGTGATAATTTCTTATTCATTGTATAATGAAAATGAATCTCAATATAGTTGAGATGTAAGGTCATGTAAAGTTTTACAATAAGAGTGTAAACAAGGCGTTTTAATGTGATAGGTTTACAAAAAAAGAATCAAATACGTAATAGATACTTGGCATAACTATCCGATTCATGCTAGACGTTTGTATTAATCATTTATTCGAGAGTACATAATCATTGCTCTAGAATATCAACAGTGTACAATTTCTCTTTTAATTAATATTGTCATATTTAAGTATTCGATGTTTCTTGGCATGGTTAATACTCGAAAAAAATATCATAAATTGTCCCCTATGACAAAAAGATAACTGTTCGATACTGTGCTACTATCCTTTTCAATGAACCATGTAGTCCGATGTTTTGCGTATAACTTTTTAACAAAAAACGATAGAGAGCGTGGTTTTCAGTTTTAGAGAGTAGAATCTGGGGACTATTATGAAAAAATAAATTCAGAAATACCACCTGCACGTGCTAAGCCTCTTCAGAATTTTTTGCAGAAACTTTCTCACCATTGAAGAACTTTTGGATTTTCGATTCCAAATAGTGAAATGGAGACCCTGGATGTTGATCTACAATTCCCAACAGGTCCCAGATTTCTATCTCTTATCATCCGGGAGCAAGAGTCGTTCTCCACACATTATGCTATCTTCAAATCTGGAGATATTGAAATCTCAAAAACACTCGGGACAGAGGTAATCAACTATCCTGATCATCGTGGCATTATTTATTTTCATCTTCAGATCGAAGGAACTTCAGCTGACCCATTTTTCCAAAAACTTCAGTTTTTCCCTGTAGCCATGTAAACTTCAAATTCGCATAACTCATGCATTTCTCATTCGAAATAAGCAAAATTTTCGGCAGAAGTGTAGTTTTACTCGGACAATCTAGCAAAACGACCAGCAAATCTCGCATACAAATGTTTAGTCCAGAGCATTTTCCGGAGATCTCTGGAAATACGATGGTCCTTTCGTGAATCACACCCGAGTTTTTCGTCATGGTCTATAATCTTCGCCTAATGCTGCATATTTTCTGAAGGTTACAGTCAGTTTTGACGGGAACTCAGTGAGTTATGCGAATTTGAAGTTTACATGGCTACAGCGAAGAACTGGAGCTTTTGAAAAAACGGGTCAGCTGACGTTCCTTCGATCTGAAGATGAAAATAAATAATGCCACGATGATCAGGATAGCTAATTACCTCTGTCCCGAGTGATTTTGAGATTTCAAAATCTCCACATTTGGAGATAGCATAGTGTGCGGAGAATGACTCTTGCTCCCGGATGATAAGAGATAAAAATCTGGAAGTTTCTGCAAAAAATCCTGAAGAGGCTTACCACGTGCAGATGGTATTTCTGATTTATTTTTTCATAATAGCCCCCAGATTCTACTCTCTAAAACTGAAAACCACAGCTCTATATCGTTTTTCGTTAGAAAGTTATACGCAAAACATCGGACTGCACGGTTCATTGAAAAGGATAGTAGTTCGTGGAATATTTGAAAAAAGTAAAGAGATTTTGTTTTTTCCATACACTAGTATGTGTAAGATTAGAACGATTCAAAGACGATATTAATCGTCTTTCTTGTCAATATTGAATTACGAGTTCGTGCTTAGTGCTTACATATTTGAAAGTCCATATATGTTTCCTCTTCAAGTAGAGTCTTGTTACCATGACCTTTTCGTTATTCTTTACCGTATTATTGAACTGATATGTTTGTTACAATTGACTATCTATTATCGCGAATTAAAAAGCCTTTTTTACTATCACCATGGCAACTCGATTCGTCTTCAAGTGATGTTCCACGAGCGTGGTGATGGGCTAATTCTCATACAAGTGTTCCATATTGTTCACGCTTATTTGAAAAAGACCTAAATAATTTTTACATTGTTGAGTAGAGCAGTGAACGACATAGCTAATGTCCAGTTTATATTTCATTTTGCCGTTTGCTTTGATGCTCCTATAGCATTTACGCGCTCCCACGCAGTTTCTCCCGAATTTACATTGATCTTCAGCTGATAACTTCTCACTCTGCTGGGTTTATGAGCATATTTGTTTATTCTCCAAGTGATGTTCTACAGGCATAATGATCTCATCTATTACAACTAGTGTTGTAGATTTGGAAGTTCCATGATCGACCTTCGTGGAATACTGGAAACATGTCGTTCAGTAGTTCGAAGTAGGTGCTTGAGTTCTTCTTGTCAGCAACGTACAGTAAGTAATTCTCTTTCGAATGCGACATTTCCCTCCTCGAGTATTTGAACCTCGAAACCTGAAACACTAGTAGTGCCAGGTGAGATGTCTTCGTAAAACAAATTGAAAGAGTTCTGACAAGCAATTTTGGAAATAAACGAGCTCAAAATTTGGAATTTTCAAAATTACACAGCATCTCCCAGAACCTATAAATCAAAATCCCAGTAAGTCAAACACGCGTTATTAAGAACAACACAGACCAAGCTTCATTTTAACTTTAACTAAGCCTATGTTTCATACATTCTCGACCGTTTGGTAGGCAGTTTAAAAAAATGGTGCTTTCCTCTTTATTTTGCTAGGATTTTCTGACCCATTTACCTAGCTTTACAGATGCATAGTAAGCAATCATGTGCACATTAGGTGAAAAATCGAAAGTGCACCATTTCAACATTCAAATAGTGTGTAGTCCACTTCTAGCTTTACAGTTTGACACAGGAAGATCACTTTATGTACAACCTTTTTACCTCTATGAAATGATCAAATCAATTTTTCGAAAAACAATTATTGCAGAGAAAAACTGTCGATCGCAGGGTGACGAATGTTTT